CAGACTTATTTGTTCATTAATGACGTCATCAGCGACTAGTCGACTTCGACTCGACTTTCATCACATAAAAGTCGACTTCAAAAAATCAGAAGTCGTTCGACCCCTACTACAGAGACAGTGAGGTGATTATCATCACAAAAGGAAACAGTGATCTACTACTCTATTTTGAGCTCTTCATGGCCACGCAGCTAATAAAATAACGCTTATGACCGATTGCCGCACCAGCATTTTCATAAAAAGTAGTTTCAATGGAGTGTGTAATTTCTGTTGATGGATCTTGTAAGGGATAATGAGGTTTCTCTGCTCAGCTGAGGTAATGTTTAGATATTGTTGGTCATTAATGTTGTATTAGAGCAGTAGTTCTGAACAAACAATGAGTGTTATTTGAACAGTCGGCTGACTGACGAATTCTGCCGTCATTTAATTACTGATGTTGTTCCAAACTTGATCACTTTTATTCTTCTGTGGGACACAAAAGGTAAAGGTAACGATGCACTGGTCGCCCTCTTTTCCATATGATTACAATCAACGAGGACTGATGCGTCAGAATACAACGAATACACAAGGACCAAGTTTATAAGACTTGCTACATTCTGTGTCTTCTGATGTCATATCATAGATATCATAGCTTGTACTCTGTACTCTCTCAATTGTTTGTGTTTAACACAATGACATCTTTTTTTCATTTCATCATTAATGCGGACATAACACACACAGTTTCTGTCAATCTCGTGTTAATCTTGAGTAACTATAGAGTAGTATTGCATCATTCATATCTCAGAAGAGCCTTTAGTCTTATCAGATTTATAAAAGAAAGATACAGCTTTACGCTTCTCTCCGAAAACAGCCGAACTCCTGGAGGCGTGCCGTGGGCGGAGCTAAAGAGTCACGAGTATGCAAAGCTTTTGCGTAACGATCATCTGCAAACTGTGACATCGACATAAAACAGGAACAAAAACTTAATTGACTTAAATGTTATTTAACTTGTTTACAGGGCCGTGCTCGAAATTAATTATTGGAAATTAGTCATTATCCATTATTATCATTTAAAGTTTTTGGGGGGAATCTTGAATAGGAAGCTACTGATTTATAATCTTGAGTAGGAAGCTAATTAAGCATCTAGCGTTAGGTCTGGCAGGTCACGTGAGTCAAGCTTGCATCAGCTGATCCACATCTACCTAGGAATATGACGCCTATCACGGCATTCCTATATAAGGTCTATTCAGTATTATTCAGCAGCTTTATCGCTTGCTCAGAGCAAATTACCCTCCTCCATCCCCAGCTCCTCCTTTCATGGCTGCTTGGGAGGGCAGGGAGTTTTTTGCCCAGAACAGAACCATTCTGCCAATCCAAATTGTATGCTAAGTGTCAATCATTTTGACGATAGTGGTCTTGACAGAACTGTATTCATCATATGTCAGATTTATGTTTTCATGTCTTCAAAACTCAGAATAAATCATTTCTACTTAAATCAGCTCTTTCATCAGTAGTATGTTCATCATTTCTAATGGAGCAGTGGCTCAGATGAGAGCCAAAGACAGAGAAAGCAGGGTTGTGCACCAACTGAACTGAGAACTGCTTTAACTTCAAATTCAGTTCTAGAATTGAATTTGAACTGATATGATGAACATTATACAAAATAGCAGTTCCGTTTGAATGTAAGGAAACATGATCAAAATTCTAAGACATTTAAAACATGTCATTTTTAATTAAAAGCAGAGACACACTTTTAATGTTGTCTTGATAAAGCCTTGTTTGGAAGTTTTCAAAAAAAGTTTAAAAAGCTTGACATTTTAGGTTTATTTACTGGTAGCAGAAAGAGCGATATATTGATATGTTGCAATGTCTCAATATCAGTAGCTTTACAGGAACCATGCATTAATGTCTTTGAATTCTGGGAGCTCTGTAAAGCAGGGCAAAGGTGAATTAATGGGAAAAAAATTATAAATAAATATATATATAAGGTCATCTTAAATGAAATTCCATGTTTGAACTGAATCTGAGCAACTGTTATTCAACTTCAATTAACATTTCAAGGTAGATGTCTTCAGTTCTGTTGAACACTTTTTTCTGCATCAAATTGAAACAACCTCTGCTTCTGATATCTTTTTTATTGCGATGTGTAATATAACCACAGTATTTCAGATCAAACATGTTTGATCTGAAGCAAGTAGAGCGACTAAGCGTTGTTGAAACCTTCTTGCCTTTGCAAGTTCTTTTTCAATATTTTTAAAAAGAGTTAATTGTGAGTCACACTTTGTAGGTGGCTTCCTCAAATTCCCTGAAGAGTTTTCCAGAGTGAGGGCGGCGGGCAAAGCAGTTTCAACACATTCTTAAAACAGCATGCGGTGGATACATTAATTTTAAATCTGAAGTGTGAACGACCGGTGCTAAAATCGGGGGTTTCATTACACCTTAATGTGTTTATAGGTGTCTGTAGGGATGCCATCCATGTCTGAAGCTCTTCATGTTCCACTTTGACTTCAACATCTGAGACAGAAATATTTAACTGCTCTAAAAAGAAAAGTACATTGTATTATACATAATTTTCTTATACATAAAAAACAGATCTTTTCAGTGTTCATCAAGTTTCTAATGAAGCTGACGATGCGGACTTGCCATCTGCACCTTTCATTAGGGGTGTTGAAATTAATTGTTTCATCGATGCATTGATGTGGATGTGGACGATTCTGCATCGATGCAGTAATAGACCATAATCGATTATAGCCTACTGACGTCATTCGCAAACGTGCTTGTCATGCGAGTATTAAAAAATGCACCCACTATTTTAAAATCCGAGATCTGGGCACATTTTGGAAAAACCAAGCTTAGTGCGAAAAAAAAAAAAAACATGCTCAGATTCAATTCTGAAATGTGTGTGTGCTAGAGACAATCGCTGCGGGCTTCAGTGCACAGGATCTGCGCTGTGAGACACGTGCGCATTGCTTGACAGTGTGTGCTTCCACCCACTGTTATTGCAGTGTTTTTCTTTAGATGTGCTTTCATTGATGCCGTTTGGAATGCAGTACGTATTAGATGCATGAAACTCACGTACTGACAGACGTTGACGTTTGCTTTGTGTTTGTTCTTCTGAAGCTTGATCGCGGCTGTGGTTAAATGCACTTGCATCTCCGAATTGATGTAGAGACAGTGAGTGATGTTTTCAGAACAGGACAAAACATCTGATATGTCAAAATAGATCTGTGCATTAGTGTGAATGCAGCCTGTTAAAGCTGCCACTGGCTATGATCTCATCAGTAATAATCAAACAGCAATAAAGAAAAACCCATAACTATGTTTGTCTGTAAACTTTCAGATACTTAAAGGGGTCATAGGATGCTACATGCACTTTTGAACTGAAATGTGTGTTGGCAGTGTGTGTACACAACCACCCTATAATGATAAAAATGCACCCAGTGTTTTTTTTTTAATCTGCTCAAATCTTTACCCCTTTCTCAAATCGAGCCGATCTTAGATGCCGGTCTGTGTGATGTCACACAGACAGGCCCCTCCCACGATAGTTTGATTGACAGTAGCTTTTCAGCACAGACTGGACTGGTGTCTTACCTTAGCTCCGCCCTGAGTGAGCTGTCATCAGTCCGCCATTGTTTCATCGCTGGAGCAGATGTAGACAAGAATGACTCCACGATGAATGTGGCTAAAGTAAACAGTCTCTCTGAGAGCAGCTCGGAAGAGAGGGGCGGGGTCAGCAGAGCTCATTAACATTTAAAGGAAAATGCTACAAAAACGGCTTGATCTGAAAAGAGCTCTACCATTGAGACATTTTAACCAAACTATGTTACAGACTTTTCATTAAGACCCCAAAAAATCATATCAACTTATGGAAAATGGGCATCCTATGACCCATTTAAAGTACTCTTAGATACTGAAAGTACTTTTTGTTTATCTTTTTTAAATTGTCTTTTCCCCCTTTTATTACTTTATATTGGCTTGTATGTTTTGAAGCTATAATTAGTTGGTTAATTTCTTAACAATTGTTTGGATTTTTTTTTATTAATTTGTAATTATTTTAAAAAGTAGCTTGCTTATATAATTTAATAAAAATGCACAAAATAAATTTGATATAATCACAATGTATCGTGATGCATCGTGATATCGAATCGAATCGTTGACTTGATAATTGTTATCGAATCGAATCGGGAAACCAGTGACACATCCCTACCTTTCATATGGATTACATAATGAAAGAGTTTTTGTTTTTGATTTAAATGGGTTCATTTTAAAGTCGACATTTTAAGCAAGGCAAGTAGCGTATACGCTGAGTTTTGTTAAATTTTGCAGCATGCTACAGATCATGGAGACCGATACGGCAGAAAGCGCATCTTGTTTGTTTTCTTTATTTCATTAAAGCACAATGTCTTGATGATATTGTGAGTGTATGCAAATACGTAATTGCGTCGGCACCTCTATGTCATGCGGTAGTGCACTTCCACAGCTTCCACACGCCGCACTTTGATATGCGACTAATAGTGCACGTTTATCTAGTTAACATTAGAGCGAGTAGCCATTTAAAGTCGCTACTACTTACAAGTTTCACTTTCAAATAATAAGCCATTTTGTCGGGGGAGGGGGGTGGGTGCATTTTTATCATATAATGGAGACAAAGTTAGAAATTGGTTATTTTCTGAATCGTTTGAATCATGCATTTACCAAAATCATTTCTCGAAACTCTTGATGAAAACATACCTGCCTGCTGAGTTACATTTTTTGTTACATATATTCAGTGGTACAGATTTATATATGTATAAAAAGAATGGGACTCCTCTTGCATGGATGAAAATTGAAGCGTAAAATCTCAGCGGGGGTTAAATGAGTCAAGAAATATACTGTCATTTCTGAATGTAATAAGACTCCACGATTGCTACCATTTTTGTTAAATTGACAATCCCTTGCATGGAATAATATTTGCTGCATAAAGCGTGCCTTCAAAGATGGTAAAGTCATGTAAGTGAAGACATCAGGTTTTGTTGTGGGTAAAGTGAAGCTGAACTCCATCAACACTGATCCTCCACCGTTTGCTGTTACATCATTTCCTCTGGGCTCACTCTCTGTTTCCGGTTTTCAGATCAGCTACCAGAGCATTGAATCGTCAGATCCCAGCATCAACGTTCCTGGCCCACGGCGCACCGTCTCCAAACTAAAGAACGAGACGTATCACATGTTCTCCGGGCTTCATCCTGGCACCACATACCTGGTGTCTGTTCGCGCTCGCACCGCCAAGGGCTTTGGCCAGACCGCCCTGACCGAAATCACCACCAATATCTCAGGTGAGGGAATACACATTGCCACAAGGCATTCTGGGATATGAGATGCATCAGAAAACCTACAGCTTTGCTGGCTTTTGTCTCTGAATCTAAAGAACTTAATTATAAGTTTTCCACTAGTAGCTAGATGGGCTTTGGTTTTATCGCTGGAATGAATGTAAGATGCCTGTGGGGCCTTTTAATTGGTTCAGGATTTATTCATACTTTATTTGGACTTCATTCAGACATAATCGCAGCTGCTCTTTTGGCAAGATGAACTCTCTGAACAGCAGAAATATTGATACAGAGGTTTACCCAGGCTGAAGTCGACAAACTGAGGGGAGAACTGTGTAAACTGAAGGGAAAATGTCAGGTCCTTTTGGGAAATCGTTTTTCCACCAACGAACTTAAAGGCTTGTGGGAAAAGTCTCTGGCTTTGCATTTTGTAGCTCAATAAACTGAAAATTAAAGGGAAACTGATTAGTCTCGGCCCCTTTGGTACTTCTGACCAAACAATGCTCTTTAAAGAGCCTCATGAAAGGAATAGTTCACCCCAAAATTCTGCCATTATTTACACACGCCACTCCAAGCATGGCGGAGCTGCTCATTTATTGAGCATTGGCTCTCAAGCTCCAAAAAGACAAAAACATTATCATTAAGGCAAGACACTAGAAGCAAAACTCACTTCTAGTGTGAGTTTAGTGTTAAACTCACACTAGAAGCACTTATATGCACGTCTTTCCAGTTTTAGAAAAACCTTTATTACTCTGAAGATTTTTAAAGAGGGGTTTGTTCATATATCATTTGCCAGACTTATATAACATTTCATTCTTAAAACATGGAGTTTTTTTCTTCTTCTTTTGTTGGTGATATTATTTTCTATGAAAGCCCGTTTCCACCAATGAATAAAAAATAAAACAAGGTAATTGCAAATTTTTATCTCACAATTCTTACTTTTTTTCTCTCAGACGTGCTATAAACTCGCAATTGGGAGTTGTAAAGGGACTTTTTTTTCTCGCAATTCTGACTTTTTTTCTCAGAATTACGTGATGTAAACATGCAATTGCGAGATAAATTCCAATTTTGAGGAGGGGGGGAGACTGATATGTTCTCAGAATTGCTAGTTTATATCTCACAATTCTGACTTTATAACTCGCAATTGTGAGTTTACATCACGTAATTCTGAGAAAAAAAGTCAGAAATGTGAGGTTGTATCTCGCAATTCTGACTTTATATCTCGCAATTCTGACTTTGTATTTCACAATTGTGAGTTTATATCACGTTTATATCGTGTGTTCACGACAGTATCATGATGCGAGCGTGTGGCGGCGCCAGCGCCCAGATCTGGGTCAGCGCCGCCACATGCTCGCGTCATGATACTGTCATGAACATGCGTCTGTGTAACATTAAAATTTGTTTGATGATCTGAATCTTTTAAGTGTGACAACAACACTTTTTCACACCACTGTAAGTCACAATTACCTTTTTTATTTTTTTGTTCAGTGGCTGAAACGGGCTTCCATAAGATAATAATACGTTGTTTCAACTAAAAAAAGTGAGTAAAAATGAAAATTAAATAAAATAATAATAATAAAAGTAAGTGTTTGTGCTTGACTTAAAATTATAAGTTTACGTAACTTTAGTTTAGCTCTATTTATCTCAGCAAATTTTAAGTTGTTATAACTAATCCGCTTGTTAAGTCTGACGTCACGCATCACCGCTTGAAAAGCTCTGTCGCACCACAAGAAAACAACAAACGGTGCTAATTTACATGCACAATGTGGTGTAATACTATCAAAAAATTCTAATCATAACCTTTATCTCCATATCAAAATGGACAGATAGTGATTCATCTTTTGTAAATCGTTAAAATATTCGTATCTGTGATGGCATGAGCACAGATACTGTAGTATACACTGTAAGTTTTTTAAAAGTTTAGTTTAAATATGTAATATGAATAAATAGTGCTCATAAACGGCAGTCGACATGGTATTCTCAATTGAAACGAGTGGAGGCTTGGACCCGGAAATGGCGTTTCATTATGTCCCGACTTAACAAGCGGATTGTGGCATCTTTTTTTTACAGTGTTGCCTTAAAAAGCACCTCATGTAATATATCCCAAATCGTTCAGTAGCTTCCCTGCTTTGTATTAAATGGATTTGTGGGTGAATAAGGGATTTTTGCATGAACTGTCTCTTTAAATATCTGCTCACACATGGTAATCCAGCTGTACTAGGCATGAGCAAAATTGTCCTTTGTGCTTATTTGTGTATGTTTCTTTTTGAGGTTTGTTCCTATAGTCAATCATAACATCCCTCGGTCCTCAGATCTAACACTAGCGCTGTGATAGCGGCTCTCGTTCTTTCTACTCTAGGTTTTCTGCTTGTTTTGGTATGCTGAAGGCTGAGACATTGACCCGTTTCCCTGTACCGGCTCACTAATTGACTTACGATAATAAGCAGGAATGGGAGCAGGAGTTCTGTTCTGTGCTCGCCTCTCAAGAGACTGTATAAAGGACTGTGAATCGCTCTCATCCGCCTCCATTACTGTTTCATTGCCCTTGTGTGGCGCACTCTGTTTGGGCCTGTTTTTGTTCTCTGTGGAGCAAGGGATTCAAGTCAGTGGAAAACCAAAACTAATTTGAAAGATTTTTGTGCGTTACAGTTGCTGGGTGGTTGAGGTGTTTTTTGCTTTTTTTAAAGAATAGATCAAAAATGAAACTTCTATCATTATTTACTCGTTCTCTTGTCATTCTAAACCTGTATTTTAAGTCTTTGTTTACTGATAATATTTCCCTCCAGTGAGCTGTTGACAGCAAACGGATCATAAAGTTGAACTGACTGAGTCAGTAAGCTGAACAATTTAAAAACAAAACGTTCAATATAATTTGTGGACCAGCAGAAAAGAATAACTAGTTCACTGGCTTGGTTCTCAAGTCACTCAGGCATTTCTTAATCACATCTGAAACAGATCAGATATTATTTGTTCTTTCTTTCCCCTCACAGCACCAGCGTTTGACTATGAAGACGTCCCCTCTCCACTGAGTGAATCTGAGAGCACAATAACAGTTCTCCTGCGTCCAGCCTTGGGGAGAGGAGCACCTGTTAGGTAATGAACCCAATCTAATTTATATATATATTACGCTATTTGTTGCTTATTGTATATGTTGCCCCCCATATCGTCAGTCAAGTACGGGGTTGTACGGGGGTACTAGACGGTGCTAAATACCCCCAAACGAAAGCAAAAGCAATTAAAATATCTGGCAAACTATCTAACGTGTTTTTGCAGCATTGAGCAATGTAGCCAATCAAAGACATATCTGTTGATTTCTTCAACGCAATGGCCAATCAGAAACGTTAGAGCTTTCAGAAGTCACTCACTGCTGAAAGAGCTAGAGTTCTGCACGCTCGCGAATCAGCTCATGACTGAGTTTTATTGTGTAGTTTAGAGAGCTTGATTATAACGGAACTTTGTGAGATCGCGATGAACTTTGATGAGTGATTCTTTTAGTGATAATAAAGGGAGTGCGCTTTGTGTGTTTTCTAGGCTGTAATCCATTCAGAATTTAAATGAAACTTTCCTTTTTCGGACACATACGTGCTGCAAAGTTTCAGGAATGATGCTGGATTGATTCTTGAATTATCAGCGATAAGCAATGGACGGGACAAAAATTCTTAGGTGATTACTCTGGAAGCGGTCCTGGCCAAACTTTCACAGACAGCGCGCGTCCTGAGCTAGATCCAGTTCACGGGCTAAAAGTGTGTGTAAATTTATTGAGATCGGGATATATCAACCGGTAATTTCATTTCCAGTAACGGACGGTAGAAAGTTCAGCAATGAATGGTATGCGATTTATGACAGAATAGTCGCACAACTGATCGTTCATATTTTTTTCCTCGCGTGTCTCACCACAATGATTCAAAACGGACACATTTCAAGTTGCAGATGCAAACAGCTGATATATGTATAACTCCACCAGTCAGCATTCGAGTTCTCTGCTAAGCTGCACAGAAAAGAAATTGCTTCCATGTCAAACTAAATTGCTTTCTATAATGTTTGGTCTGGCATTGCATTTTTGTATTTTTTTTTTTTACATCCCATGGTATAAACATCTTGTGGTATAAGCTACTTTTGTTTTATTTAGTGATTGTTTCATTAAGCACTTGAAGTTACATGTTACAGTGAGTTTATGAAGGAGTGCAAATACAGAGCGTTACAGTTCAGTGTGTAAAGTCTGCTCCATCTTCCTGAACAGCGCCTATCATGTGGTTGTGGTGGAGGAGGACGGCTCCAGACAGGTGAGGCGGAGGGAGTTGGGTCACATAGAGTGTTTCCCTGCTCCTTCCTCCCATGGGGAGAGTCCGGGGGGAGGAGGAGGGGCAAGTGGTGCTCCGCCTCATTACTACACCGCTGAACTCACGCCCAGCAGCTTGCCTGAGGCTACACCATTCACTGTAGGGGACAACCACACCTACAACGGCTATTGGAACACACCTCTGGACCCCAGCAAGAATTATCTCATCTACTTCCAGGCCTCCAGTAACTTCAGAGGGGTGAGTGATCACATCTGCCCAATAAACACTCATATGTACTCCTTGTTAGTACAAGCTTTCTTGGATAAAGCTTGGAGAGAGAAGTCAATGAGAACAAAAAGGAGATAGAAGTATTCCATAAATGTAACTGTTAGTTTGATTGATTGATTGATTGATTGTGCTAATTTTGATGATCAAGAAGAATAGGGAAATAGTTTATTTCAAACTCTTATGAATAGCTTGGTTTATTCTAAACATACGCATTGCAGAGCGATAGCCATACAATATGGTTTACTGTAAACTAAGCATTATCTAGCTCAGTGTATCTGTCATATTTCTAGTCAGCTAGATAAAATGTGAAAAAAATAGTCTTTTGATTGATTGAGAAACGTCTTAACATGCCTTAAAAATGGGCCAAGCAATAATCCAAACATTTTATGCTGTAATGAAGAGGGAAGGCAGTGTCTATTAAGAATATCACCACTAATATGGAATTGTTGACCACCCTATCAGATATTATGCATTCACATTTGTATTAGCAAGCATAATAGACTTGTCCAATCTTTGATCTTCTATCTTGAAATCTACATTGGGGAAGAATCAAAGGCATATGCAGTCAATAAAAAAGTAAAACGTTTTTAAGTTAGTAGAGCTTTATATGCATGCTAATAAGCTAGTTAAGAGACCCTAAAATAAAATGTTACCATGAATGTTTGTTTTATTATTAATATTTATTTATTCATGCATTTATTTATTTATGATGTGACAAAAAGAGAAAGAAAAAAAGTGTTGATTGTAGACAGAGTCATTTAATAATCATCACCACTAAGACTAAGTTTTGAAACAATACAGCTCTAGCCACTAGCGAAAGCACCCGCTGTGTTAACCGCAGACGCTAAGCTGCGCCTGAGAAAAGCCACTGAAGTTTGTGTGTACTTTTGTTTCTCCTGATAATCCAGGTACTTTTAATATGTTCACGT